TTATCATTTTTTATTGCATCTATTTGGTTGTTCTCTCTTTTATTTTTAATCAATCTGGCTAGTGGTCTGTCTATTTTGTTGATCTTTTCAAAAAACCAGCTCTTGGATTTATTGATTTTTTGAAGGGTTTTTCGTGTCTCGATCTCCTTCAGCTCAGCTCTGATCTTAGTTATTTCTTGTCTTCTGCTGGGTTTTCAGTTTTTTTGATCTTGTTCCTCTAGCTCTTTCAATTTTGACGATAGGGTGTCAATTTTGGATCTCTCCATTCTCCTCATATGGGCACTTATTACTATATACTTTCCTCTAGAGACTGCTTTAAATGTGTCCCAGAGGTTCTGGCACGTTGTGTCTTCGTTCTCATTGGTTTTGAAGAACTTCTTTATTTCTGCCTTCATTTCGTTGTTTACCCAGTCCACATTCAAGAGCCAGTTGTTCAGTTTCCATGAACCTGTGCGGTTCTGGGTTGGTTTCTGTATTCTGAGTTCTAACTTGATTGCACTATGGTCTGAGAGGCTGTTTGTTATGATTTCAGTTGTTTTGCATTTGTTGAGCAGTGCTTTACTTCCAATTATGTGGTCAATTTTAGAGTAGGTGTGATGTGGTGCTGAGAAGAATGTATATTCTGTGGATTTGGGGTGGAGAGTTCTGTAAATGTCTATCAGGTTTGCTTGCTCCAGGTCTGAGTTCAAGCCCTGGATATCCTTGTTGATTTTCTGTCTGGTCGATCTGTCTAATATTGACAGTGGAGTGTTAAAGTCTCCCACTATTATTGTGTGGGAGTCTAAGTCTCTTTGTAAGTCATTAAGAACTTGCCTTATGTATCTGGGTGCTCCTGCATTGGGTCCATATATGTTCAAGATTGTTAGCTCTTCTTGTTGTATCAATCCTTTTACCATTATGTAATGGCCTTCTTTGTCTCTTTTGATCTTTGTTGCTTTAAAGTCTATTTTATCAGAGATGAGAATTGCACCTCCTGCTTTCTTTTGCTCTCCATTTGCTTGGTAAATCTTCCTCCATCCCTTTATTTTGAGCCTTTGTGTATCCTTGCATGTGAGATGGGTTCCTGGATACAACACACTGATGGGTTTTGGATTTTTATCCAATTTGCCAGTCTGTGTCTTTTAATTGGTGCATTTAGTCCATTTACATTTAGGGTTAATATTGTTATGTGTGAATTTGATACTGCCATTTTGATGCTAAGTGGCTGTTTTGCCTGTTAGTTGCTGTAGATTCTTCATTATATTGATGCTCTTTAGCATTTAGTGTGATTTTGGAATGGCTGGTACTGATTGTTCCTTTCTGTGTGTAGTGCCTCTTTTAGGAGCTCTTGTAAAGCAGGCCTGGTGGTGACAAAATCTCTGAGTACTTGCTTGTTTGCAAAGGATTTTATTTTTCCTTCATTTCTGAAGCTCAGTTTGGCTGGATATGAAATTCTGGGTTGACAGTTCTTTTCTTTAAGAATGTTGAATATTGGCCCCCACTCTCTTCTGGCTTGTAGTGTTTCTGCCGAGAGATCTGCTGTGAGTCTGATGGGCTTCCCTTTGTGGGTGACCCGACCTTTCTCTCTGGCTGCCCTTAGTATTCTCTCCTTTATTTCAACCTTGTTGAATCTGACGATTATGTGCCTTGGGGTTGCTCTTCTTGCGAAATATCTTTGTGGTGTTCTCTGTATTTCCTGCATTTGAGTGTTGGCCTGTCTTGCTAGGTGGGGAAATTTTCCTGGATGATGTCCTGAAGAGTATTTTCCAGCTTGGATTCATTCTCTTCGTCCCCTTCTGGAACACCTATCAAACGTAGGTTAGGTCTTTTCACATAGTCCCACATTTCTTGGAGACTTTGTTCATTCCTTTTTGCGCTTCTTTCTCTGATCTTGGTTTCTCGTTTTATTTCATTGAGTTCATCTTCGACTTCAGATATTCTTTCTTCTGCTTGGTCAATTCGGCTATTGAAACTTGCGCATGCTTCGCGAAGTTCTCGTATTGTGTTTTTCAGCTCCTTTAATTCATTCATATTCCTCTCTAAGTTATCCATTCTTGTTATCATTTCCTCATATCTTTTTTCAAGTTCCTTAGTTTCTTTGCATTGATTTAATACATGTTCTTTTAGCTCACAAAAGTTTCTCATTATCCACCTTCTGAAGTCTAATTCCGTCATTTCGTCACAGTCATTCTCCGTCCAGCTTTGTTCCCTTGCTGGTGAGGAGTTTTGGTCCTTTCTAGGAGGCGAGGTGTTCTGGTTTCGGGTGTTTTCCTCCTTTTTGAGCTGGTTTCTTCCCATCCTGTGGATTTATCCTCTTGTCATCTATGTAGTTGCTGACTTTTCGATTGGGTCTCTGAGTGGACACCCAGATTGTTGATGATGAAGTATTTCTGTTACTTGGTTTTTCTTCTACCAGTCTAGCTCCTTCGCTGTACCACTGCTGAGGTCCACTCCAGGCCCTGCTTGTCTGGGGTGCACCTCTAGCAGCTGTGGCACAGTGAGGGATGCTACCAGTTTTTTTTTCTGCTATCTTTGTCCCAGGATGATGCCTACCAAATGTCAGTCTTTTGGATATAGAGGGGTCAGGGAGCTGCTTGAGGAGACAGTCTTTACTTTATAGGAGCTCAATTGCTGAGCTGTGAGCTCTGTTGTTCATTCAGGGCTGTTAGGCTGCTATGTTTGATTCTGCTGCAACAGAGCTCATTAAAAAAACCCTTTTTTTCTCAAATGCTCTGTGTTGGGGGGTTCGGGCTTTATATTTGGATATCCGTTGAGGTGTCCTGCCCAGCTAGGAGGCAGACTAGCCACTGTTTTCCTGCCGAGGCTCCGCCCTACTGTTGTGAGGTTTGCCCTATTGCTGCAGGCTCTGCTGTTCTGCTGTGGTCTCCACCACGCCCTGTGGTGGAGTCTCTCTGTTGTAGCGGGTTGCCTCGGCAATGGCAGGCTGTGTCAGAAGTGGGCGTGTATCTCAGTAGGGACGGGTTGCCTTGGCAATGGCTGGCTGCGTCAGCAGTGGGTGTGTATCTCAGTTGGGGCAGGTTGCCTCAGTAATAGTGGACGCCCCTCCCCGACAGAGCGTCTTGGACCGTCTGCTCGGGATCGTTTGAAATCGCAGTGTTGTTCATCCCACTAGGCTATCCCAAATGCTCTGTCCCTGCAATCCCCTGGGCTGGTCCACTGTCCAAGTCTTGTTCAGTCTCAAGTCCAGCCCTCTCAAGTCTCAGGTTGCCGGTTCAACAGGGCACCCGGACAAGCGTGCCCTGCAGGGAGTGCTGGGTAGGGCCGGCGGCCGCCACCCCGGCTGCTGGCTTCACCAGGCAGAGGTACTGCCTGGCATCCTGCGTCTCCTTTATACTTGGGATTTTCCCCATTCTGTGGCCAACAAAGATCAGTCTGGAAATGCAGCTCCGACTCACCTCTCCGTGGATTCAACAAGAGTTCCAATCCTGGGTTGTTCTCACAGCACCATCTTGAGTCCTCTCTCCAATCTACAGATTTAATGCAACCTCTATCAGAATTCCAATGTCATTTTTCCTAGAAATTTAAAAAATCTAAAACTCATATGGAACCACAAAAAAACCAAATAGCAAAGGCAGCCATGAGGAACAACAAAAAAAAAAGCTGTAAATGTCACACAAACTGATTTCAAACTATATTACAAAGCAATAGCAATTAAAACAGCATGGTGCTGGTATAAAAATAGACATATTGACCAATGGAACAGAATATAGCACCCAGAAATGAACGTTTGTATATATGGTTAATTAATTTTCAACAAAATGCCAAGAATACACAATGAGAAAATAACAGTATCTTCAATAAATGGTGTGGGAGAAACTGGATATTCAGATGTAGAAAAATGAAACTGGACCCTTATCTTACACCATATATGAAAATCGACTCAAAATTGATTAAAGGCTTAAACATAATACCTGAAACTGTAAAGTTACTGGAAGAAAACATTAGGGGGAAACTACATGGCATTGGTCTGAGCAATGACATTTTTAGATTTGATCCCAAACGTGCAGTTAATGAAAGCAAAAATGAGATTACTATAAAATAAAAGACTTCTGCACAACAAAAGAAACCACAGATTGAAAAGACAACCTAAAGATTGGGAGAAAATGTGTGTGAGCCATACATCTGATAAGGGGCTAGTTTCCAAAATACATAAAGAACACAAATATCCCCATAAAAAGAAAAAAAACAAGTTTTAGAAATAAATATTTGAAATGATAGAAATCTTAATTAGCTGATGTAATTATTCCACATTGTATTCATAAATCGTAACATCATTTTATATCCCCAAAATATATATAACTGTCATTTATCAATTTATAATATAATTAAATAAGCTCCAGGAAGACTGAGGAGAATAGAAAACATTAATGGATTTTTTTCTCTTATTCATAGTTATTTAGTGATTCTGATAAAAGAACCTATAGAGAGAAAAAGTAAATACCCAAAAACAACCTAGGTTGTTTTCACTTAGAGGCTACCTCAGAATCCTGAGGAGAGATTGGTGTGGGGTTTGAGGCTGTGCTATGGAGTGGGCTCAAGGGGGCAGCTGGCATCCTGGAGTGCTATGGTACCAGACTCAATGAGCCCAAGCCACAAGAGCAGACCCTATGCCAGGACACAGAGGAGGCCCAGTGGCAATGATGGCCTGGTAGCTGAAATCCCCTATTCTACAAAAGGCTGGATAAGGGTACCAGAGATCATCCACCACAATATGTCTTTAAAGAAAACTGAATGACTTCAGGTGGCATTTGGCTCACTGAATCAAGGTGATGTCTTAACAAAAGCCAGATAAATTACTGCTGTTTGAGGAGCAGCTCATAAGCTGGTAGAAGAATAGCTTAACACAGCAATATAGTGAGCAATGAAATACATGAAATAATAAAATCATTTGTGGCTCTCATACATCAGCAGAGAGCTATGACTCAGTTCTGGTTTTTTTTTAGTTTTATTTATTTTATTTGTATATGTCAAAATACATTTTTATTTCCCAAATGGTGGGTTTTGCCACCAGTTTCATGCAGAAACAAGGTCTGCTCAATACCACCAATAAAATCAATATAGCACAGTAGCTGTTCAGTTTTAGATACAAAGAATAAATAACCTAAATACAAAACACTAAAATATTAGAAACATGTATTTAATCATTCTTCGCAGGCACCTGAACCTCGCAAACATAAACCATAGCATGCCTAACTGGTGCGCAACGAGAACATGTTGCGGTCACTCAAACTGATCAGTTATCTGTGTATTTTACCTCCACATAAGACCATGGAAATTCTCAATATTCAGACCCACCAATCATACAGTTCAAATATAACCAAAAATAAAACTCTCACAACTATCCTTGTACCTTTAAAATCAAGAATCCTGAGCTTGGTAGTAAGAGCATAACCTTATATCTTCATAAAACCAATCAAGAAAGAGAGGACTTAACATCCTGCTTACCAAAACACCCTTCCCCAACCCCAGAGTAATCTAAAATAGGCAGTAGAACACAATGACCTTTTAAAATGAAGGGGTACAAATTCACATTTAATATAGTATACAATGCAATCAATAATACAATCAGCTACTATAAGCTTTACAATGTACAATTTATTCAAATGGCTGAACTGAATGGATTCAGGGCATGAATGTTTTCCTTGCTGGTTTTTGTGGCCGAGTTACATATAAATCAGATGATTTTGTATGGGAAACTGCATGCACCAGATACCAAAGTGGACTGGTCTTCCCCACCAAGCACTGGATGCTGAAATTGAATGGGAGCTTGTCTTTTTCCAGTATTTTCATTATTCTGTACCATATCTATAATTTTGTGTCCAAGTGGTTCCTGATGGGACATAAGAAAAAAAATCAAGGTATGTTAATTATCTATGAAATATTACAGAAACTTTCTATAGTAAAAAGTAAAATCTATAATGGCAATTTTAGCAAAAGATGAACAGAAAAACTAGGTTATAAGTGGAAACAAGGAGCAAGGCTAGCAAAGATAACTCTGGAAATTTGCAGAAAATCCATAAGTCTAATTTTAGTGAGTATATTAGCAAATAGTAAAACAGATCTGAGATTCTCCTTGCTTTTCTTTCTCTGTCCTCCTCTTTAGATTACTGCCATGGTCAAACGAAGGGAAAAGAAGTGATCCATGTCAGAAAAATTGCATATATTGGAAAATAATTAACATTTTAGGAGATGAGAATTTGCAAATATTTCTTATTAAAAGAAGACTTTAAAATTTAGATAATGAAGGATAACAGGATTAGGATTCTGAACTGTTCAGTGGTTAAGGAGACAATTATGTGCCAGAAAGATGTAGTATTTTTGCATGGTTTGATGAAAATATAAAAGCTATTTGTCCAAATAAAAGCCATATTCACTATGTACTTGGTTTTGCGCTTTTTTTCCCCTTAAAAACGGCCACTGAAATGTATAAAATGGTCTGAACATGACGGTGGTATCAAAGTTGATGCCTCTTCACATGGCAATAGCAGTGCATTTAACATTAACTCACGGGTTAATTTTGCAAATGATTTCATAGCATTCCTTTGGCTAGCACAACAGTTTTAGACAGCACTCAGATAAATATAGGTATGTGAAATGTAAAGTAATTATCCTATGCAACTTTAACTATGGTTGAGTACTATCAAATGAAACTCAAAAGCACTTTACAGTAGGAAATTTTTATAAAGATAGGGCTCCACATAATGTGTAACTTTTAAAGTCTTGTATCACATTGTTAGCAAATTTTGGTTTTTTTTGTTGTTGTTGTTTTGTTTTGTTTTTTTAGACGGAGTTTTGCTCTTGTTACCCAGGCTGGAGTGCAATGGCGGGATCTCGGCTCACTGCAACCTCCGCCTCCTGGGTTCAGGCAATTCTCCTGCCTCAGCCTCCTGAGTAGCTGGGATTACAGGCACGCGCCACCATGCCCAGCTAATTTTTTGTATTTTTAGTGGAGACGGGGTTTCACCATGTTGACCAGGATGGTCTCGATCTCTTGACCTCGTGATCCACCTGCCTTGGCCTCCCAAAGTGCTGGGATTACAGGCGTGAGACACCGCGCCCGGCTGCAAATTTTGTTTTTTAACACTGTCATGGAGTCGCCTACTCTGCATTAGCAGACATTTGAAATAAGAAAATACTCAAGCATGCTATGTGGTGGTCTAAAAATCAAAACAATACACTTATTTGTATACACAGCATCACTCAGTACCTGCTAAAATGAATGAGAAGATTACAGAATCTAACATCTTATACTACAATAAAAAAAAAGTGACCAGGGTCGGGTGCGACTTCCCACTTTGGGAAGCCGAGGTGGGTGGATCACGAGGTCAAGAGATCGAAACCAACCTGGTCAACATGGTGAAACCCCGTCTCTACTAAAAATACAAAAAAATTAGCCGGGCGTGGTGGCACGTGCCCGTAATCCCAGCTACTCAGGAGGCTGAGGCAGGAGAATTGCCTGAACCCAGGAGGCGGAGGTTGCGGTGAGCCGAGATTGCACCATTGCACACCAGCCTGGGTAACAACAGCGAAACTCCATCTCAAAAAAAAAAAAAGTGACCAATGAAGCAGAAAATAGGAATTAAAAGATCTAATCTCAAATGTCTTTAAAACATTCATACAAGAAATAAAATGCATATTGCACAAACAGCGAAAGCATATGTTCCACCAAGCAAATCAGTTCCAGGTGGGAGACAACACAGCATTAGCCTAATACATGACAATAATCACAGAAGAGCAAGTGTTCTTTTCTGTAAATGAAAAAGCTGTGAAAACATAGAAGACTCTGCCACATTAAGAGTTAGAAGGAAAAAATACATACCCAAACTTAGATGAAAAGCCAAAAAATTTAAATGTTGAGAAACTGGAAACTGTGGCACATCAAAAAATGTTGAATAACTGTCTTCTGTGAGAGCTGAAAGTTTTTGTTGACACAAAAGTGTTTACATACAACTAAGGCTTACTGGTTAAATAGCTGAGTCATATCTGGCCTTGAACACTTTCCTTATATGCTGGAGCTGTAAACAAGTTTTCTCAGTCATTAAAAAAAAAATCTTCTCAGCAGCCGCATTAATATGAAACAATGGTCTCAATTTTTTAAAAAAAGAAAAACAACAACAACAAAAACACCCCAGAAAATTGAACAAAATGAAACAAAAATTCTAGATAAGAGGGCATTTGGCAGGATATCCGAAAATGACAGTCTCCAAAATTCTTCCCAGGCTTCCAGTGACTGCCAATTATGGTCCACTGGGTTACTAATAGGTGCAATTCCATTACTTGCTGCTTTTTTTTTTAATTATTATTATTTGGAAAGTTTGCTTATTACTCTGATCAAGGCCCCATTTTCATCATTTAGCCTCTGGTTGTCTGCTTTTAGGTCTGGTAACATTTTGAGCTCTTCTTCCATTTCAGATATTCTTCTTTCTAGGGCTCTTCGTTCCCTTTTTACCATTTCCAACAGTGACCTATCAGCAAATCTTTGTCTCTGGGTGGCCTTTTCCAACTGTAATTTAAGATCTGTTAATTCCATATTTGTATCAAGTTGCTGTGCCTTCAGCTTTTCATTTTCAGCTAGAATTTGTTCATAAAGCTTTTTAAAGTCAGTTGAGTCATCCTTTTCTAGCCTGCTACTATAAGATTTTCTTTCTTCTAGGTAACTGTATGATCCACAGCGACCCAGCAAGGAATCATATCGATCACCAGCTGATGTAGAACTGGTTTCACATCTAGAAATGGAATCCGTCTGAGTTTCTTTCTTATCGGATCCCTCTTCTGAGTCCGACTATTGCTCCTGTTCATTTTCATCACTATCTTGTGTCCAAAATGAAACTCCTGTAGATCTTCTTTTCTCTCTTGGTCGCCGTCATTCTCTAATTGATTTAGGTTGTGATTTATCTTCTCCTTCTTTTTCCTCTTCTCTTTTTTCTCCCTCTCTTTCATTTTCTTTTGTTATTCCTCTGGACTAAGCAGACGTTATACCTACAAGACTATTTGGCCTGTTTAGTGTTCTTGAAGCGTAGAGTGAACTGCTTATGGTAGAAAGTGAAGAGGATGGAGTGGTTGAACTTGAAGTTGATACTGGCCTATAACACTGATAAGTCTCATCATACGTTCTGGAATACTTTTGCTTATATTCATCTTCTCTAGATGTTTCTGACTCCTTCTTTTCTTCTTGTTTCTCTTTAGCTTGTTTTTCTTTTTCCTCTTTTTCTATTTCTTCATTTTCTTGTTCTCTGGTTCTGGTAGAACGACTTCTTCCTATAGTTTTCCCAGCTTCTTGAAGATCAGTTAATGTCACTCCCTGTGTTGATCTTCTAGATTGCCTTGCTTGTCTAGATCTTGCTTCTCTTTGGGATTCAGACTCTTCATCCCTAACAGGAGTAGGGTATGATCTGTGTCTCTCCCTGACCTCTGTTGTGGAGGAGACAGTGCCAGCAGTAGTTGTAGTCAGGGTTGTGGTAGAAGCTGCAGCATTTACAACAGTTGGAGCAATGGGAATGGTCACTGATGTAGGAACACTGTCCTTTCCTTTTTCTATACTATCCTCAGCCCACAAACGATTTGAGGTACTGCTTTGTGTGCCTGCTGAGGAAGAACTGATTGTAATCTTTGTAGCAGTGCTTGTGCTGGAAAGCAGACTTTTCTGAAGCCCAGCTGCAGAGGTAACTGTTGGTGTTGACGTGGTGCTTGGAACACTGGAACTAATCAAATCATCTTGTCTTCTACCAAAGGAGCAACTTTTATGATAAGTTGATCCTTCATTAATTGAGCTATTTTTTTAAGATCATCTTCCCATTTTCTCCTTGTATATGAACTACTTGTTCGCAAACTTGAAGAATCTCTGTTTTCTTTCTCTTCAACGTCAGATGTACTGACTAGTCATCTTGGTATTGTAGGCGCGACATATGCAAGCCTAGTTCCTTTACTATCTTTCTCCTTTTCTTTATTATCCAAAGAGGAGGAAAGTCTGGGACTCGAAGCTGAACGTGTAACACCTGCAGTATCTTTTTCTTTCTGACCCTCTTTTGATGCTGTGATTTCAGCAAGTGCGCCATAACTGCCGGCCTTTCTAAGTCCTAACCTCCAAGTGGCAGGAGACTCATCTTTTCTCTCTTCTTCTTTGGGAGAAATTTTTGTAGCTGTAGTTGGAAACTTTTTAATAGGCGATGTAGGTGTTGCTTGACCTGATAACACAGTAGGGGTTGTAACAGCTACAGTAGCTGCTTGTGTACTAGAAGTGTTGACATTAGTTACAGAAGTCAGGGTTTTGTCTTATCTGTTTCAGCTTCTGATTCCAAGTCATCTTCCTCATCTTCTTCCCTAGAGCAGCTAGACTCATCTTTCTTTCGTTCTTCTTCTTCATCAACCTTTTCTTGTTCCAGAGATTCAATATGGGATGCATTTTTCTCTGGCTCAATAACCAATGTCTCTTTGTTTTTAAAGGTCTTCTGTGACTGATTATTGTCCATATTTGCTGTAGATTCAATTAGTGGAGATTTCTTATCCCGTTTTTCACTATGGAGCAGATTTTGTTTCTTTTGCAGCTATTCTAAATATCCTAAAATGTCTTCATCTGCTACATCAAAGGCTGTTTGGCCCACTTTGTTGACCATCTCATCACAGAGATTGTCCACTAAAATTCGACATGCTTCTTCTTTACCCCAGTGAGCTGCAGCATGAAGAGGTGTACAGCCATCATAGTCTTTAATATTAGCATCATATCCTGCCTGTATTAAAAGTTTTAAAACTTCCGTATAGCCTTTAGCAGCTGCAACGTGAAGTGCTGTACCTCCAGATTCTGCATGTCGGACATCATTTATATGACCACTATTTAGCCACTGCCTGGCATCTCTAAGCACGATCCGTTCTTCCTTTCGAGCTGCTTCTTTTTTTTTTTTTTTTGAGACGGAGTTTCGCTCTTGTTACCCAGGCTGGAGTGCAATGGTGCGATCTCGGCTCACCGCAGCCTCCGCCTCTTGGGTTCAGGCAATTCTCCTGCCTCAGCCTCCTGAGTAGCTGGGATTACAGGCACGCGCCACCATGCCCAGCTAATTTTTTGTATTTTCAGTGGAGACGGGGTTTCACCATGTTGACCAGGATGGTCTCGATCTCTCGTGATCCACCCACCTCGGCCTCCCAGAGTGCTGGGATTACAGGTTTGAGCCACCGCACCCGGCCTCGAGCTGCTTCTATATCAACCCCTTACCGATTAACTTCGTTTTGAAGTAGCTCTTCCATTGCCTCCTCCTCTGTAATATCTAAAGGTGTGTCTCCTTCACTATTGACAGCCCCAACATGTGCTCCCTGACCAATCAAAACTCTGCAATATCAAGATATCCACAGAAAGCTTCTGCATGTAGTGGTATCCAGCCTTTGTTATCAGGTTAATTAATATTTGCTCCATTTTCTACCAGAAACTTCACCATATCAACATTGTCATCAATGCAAGCCTGGTGCAGGGCAGTGAGTCCGTCCACATTGGCGTAATTGATGTCCTCGCCGCGGTGCAGTAGCTTGAGGACCTTGTCCATGTCGCCGCTGGAACAAGCAGCCAGGAAGACGGCGCCATCGTCGAACTTCACCTTGGTCTTCTGGCGCTTCACCACCGGAGGCTCGAGGTCTGTCTCGGAGCGGATCCAGGGCTTCAGCTGCTCGTTCCGCTTCTGCTTCGTGTCCGCCATGTTCATCCCCTCTCCTGCCGCAGGGTCTTCTTATCTTGAGGAGTAGGGAAGAGGGAGGCGGAGAGGGAAAACAGGGGAGGCATGGGGGTGTGTGAATGTTTCTATCTCAATTTTTTTTTCTGGAAAGGTGCAAAATGTGTCTTAAATGGCTTCTTAAACAAGTTTGTCACTCACCTGTGTGGACTTTTTTGGAAAACATTGTAAAATCTCATGCAGGAACTCCAATATGTTCTAACTCATTTGCAAGGGAATAGTGCAGTTCTTTCTTCTAGTGTTGTCTTGAAATAAATCATAAATTCTGCTTCTAAGTGAAGTAGATGCCAGGTTTCCCAGGTGCTTTAAATTTTTTGAGGACACTGTCTCCTATAAAACCAAAGAAGGAAAAGCATTTCACTGTTGAGGCAAATCAGATTCGGTTACATTATTAATGATTTATCATCCCTGGAATCTTCAGCTTGGGCATCCTCCATATACAAACAGCAATGGTTTGCCATGTTCAAAGAGCACAAGATCATGACGTTCAAAATGAGAAAGTTGGCTGGGCACAGTGGCTCACTCCTGCAATTCCAGCACTTTGGGAGGCCGAGGTAGGCAGATCACCTGAGGTCAGGAGTTCAAGATCAGCCTGACCAACATGGAGAAACCCCATCTCTATTAAAAATGCAAAATTAGGTGGGCATGGTGGTGCATGACTGTAATCCCAGCTACTCAGGAGGCTGAGGCAGGAGAATTGCTTGAACCCAGGAGGCACAGGTTGTGGTGAGCTGAGATCACACCATTGCACTCTAGCCTGGGCAACAAGAGCGAAACTCCATCTCAAAAAAAAAGAAAAAGAAAATGAGAAAGTCCATAAAGAACACCTTGCAAAGAACAGCATGAGTTGTAAAAAGCATGCCAAGGCTGAGGAGTTCAGCTGGCCAACAGCAGAGTTTAACTTCAGCTTTGACTTCCTGCTACTTATCAAGTATAACATTAGTTTCAAGTACAACACACAGAATCATCATGTAGCAAAGTATATCTGGAATTCTTCCAGAGCAGTGATAAATTTATTTGCACTGGAACTAGTAAATATCTTATATTCACCCTTAAAAATAATCAGGAATAAAGAGTAATTAGAATGAATGGGAAAAAACTCTTATTTTTTCTGTTATGTACCTGCTGTAATTTCCTATAAATACCATTGTAAAAGAAAAAATACAATGAATGTCAGAAATGCATAAAGTTTTAGAGATGAATTACATAGTTTTTCAAAAATGATGGCTGGGTGCAGAGGCCTATAATCCCAACACTTTGGGAGGCCGAGGCGGGTGGATCACCTGAGGTCAGGAGTTTGAGACCAGCCAGGCCAATGTGGTGAAACTCCGTCTCTACTAAAAAGACAAAAATTAGCTGGGTGTGGTGGTGAGTGCCTACTCAGCAGGGTAAGGCAGGAGAATCAATTAAACCCGGGAGACAGAGGTTGCAGTGAGCCAAGATTGTGCCACCGCACTCCAGCCTGGGCGAGAGGTTGCAGTGAGCCAAGATTGCACCACTACACTCCAGTCCCAGCTACTCAAGAGGCTAAAGCAGGAGAATCTCTTGAACCCAGGAGGCAGAGGTTACAGTGAGCTGAGATTGCACCACTGCACTCCAGCATGGGCAACAGAGCGACACTCCTCTCAGAGAGAGAGAGAGAGAGATCAAGACCATCCTGACCAACATGGTGAAACCCATCTCTACTAAAAATACAAAAATTAGCTGGGCGTGGTGGTGCATGCCTGTAGTCCCAGCTACTCAGGAGGCTGAGGCAGTAGACTAGCTTGAACCCAGGAGGTAAGATCGCGCCACTGCACTCCAGTCTGGAGACAGAGTAAGGTTCCGTCTCAAAAAAAAAAAAAGTTACTTAATATGTATGTATGCTGTATTCCTGTGTCTAATGCTGTTTTGAAAAGGACCATATAGAATTCATTCTTTGATAACCTAGAGTTTGCTTTAAAACATGACTGTCTATGTCAGCCATGGCAAAATGAAGAGTGTAACTGTCCTTCACTCCTTTTTTTTTCTTTCTTTCTAAAAAAAAAAAAAAGAAGAAGAAGAGTGTAACTTGCAAAGTTCAAAGAAAATGCAGTGCTCTAGAGGTCTAGGGGCCCATACTGAAAAAAGTGGGACCTATAAGAAGAGCCAGGCGTGAATGAAGCTGAATGAACAAACAACCACAGAGGATGCTGAAGGCTGGCAAACCTGGAGAGAGAACACATTCCAGCTAACTGCTAGCACGTGGGCTCATGAGCTCAGATCATCTGTTTTTTTAAAAGGAGCTGAAAATCCAGCATTTCTGTGAAAAGGTCCAAATGTTTAATGTTGGCAATTTTAAATAAAGGCCAATGATATATCTGATGATCAGATCTGGCCACGGGCTGCCAATTTGTGAACTTTGCTTAAACAAAAAAAGACAGAGATAATAGACAGACAGATAAATATAGAAATTTTGTTTTTTCCAGGATGTTTATAGATACATTTAATTTGGGTAGCATGGAAATAATTTTAAAAGCTTTTTAGATTTCTAAGGGCTTTTTAGATTTCTGAGTGAACCTATTAAATATCTTACTACACAAATCCCAAGGTTTTCTTTATAGAATCGTGTTTTTATCTTGAAGCCTCACCTATAAATTATCTTTTTATACTGTGTTGGCCATACAGCCAACAACCTCAGACTGATGATACCTAAATATTTTCTAAGACAATTATCATCCTGTTCAGGATGATGGGTTAATATATTCCACAATGTTACTACCTGTCTCATATCACAAAAGAATACCAATTTTAAAGCTGAAGGGGCCCTGGGGATCACGTGTTTCAATACCTTCATTTCCATTTCATTGCCCTAAAATCACCAATTCCAAACTTTAAGTGATGCAGATTTATAACAGAATAACTAAAATACTAGGAAGAAGTTTTAACTCAGCCCATGTTTCTGCTTCATTATTTTATAAGTTATAAAAACTAACCAAACATTTCAAATACCTTATCGCCATTTTTCTTCCCAGAATGGAGTCCTAATTTTTTGTTCTCACTCTCTATTTTACTTAAGAAATTTAAGAATTTAACTGAAAATTCCAAGGGAACATTCAATACCTTTCAATAGACATGTAATCTATCATACTCCAGAGTACCTACAAATAAGGTGAGTGAGGCCACCTCACACCATCAGCAATCTTGCCTTTCTGACAGTTCGCTGACACTTTCAATATAGTTGTTCCCTGTTAGAGCAATGATTCATCATACTTCAAACAGCATAAGAATGTCAGCTCTGTATAGTACTCCCTTACCTGTGTCCATGTGTTCTCATTGTTCATCACCCGCCTATGAGTGAGAATACGTGGTATTTCATTTTCTGTTCTTGTGTCAGTTTGCTGAGAATGATGTTCTCCAGATTCATCCATATCCCTACAAAGGATATGAACTCATCATTTTTGATTGCTGTGTAATATTCCATGGTATATATGTGCCACATTTTCCCAGTCCAGTCTCTCATCGATGAGCATTTGGGTTGGTTCCAGGTCTTTACTATTGTAAACAGTGCTGCAATGAACATTTGTGTGCATGTGTCCTTATAGTAGAACGATTTATAGTCTTTTGGATATATACCCAGTAATGGGATTGCTGGGTCAAATGGAATTTCTATTTCTAAGGCCTTGAGGAATCGCCACATTGTCTTCCACAATGGTTGAACTAATTTACACTCCCACCAACAGTGTAAAAGTGTTCCTATTTCTGCACATCCTCTCCAGCATCTGTTGTCTCCAGATTTTTTAATGATCGCTATTCTAACTGGCGTGAGATGGTATCTCAATGTCGTTTTGATTTGCATCTCTCTAATGACCAGTGATGATGAGCATTTTTTCATGTTTCTTGGCCTCATGTATGTCTTCTTTTGTAAAGGGTCTATTGGGGGGAATAGGGGAGGGACAGCGGAGAGGGGAGCTGGGGAGGGATAGCCTGGGGAAAAATGCCAAATGTGGGTGAAGGGGAGGAAGGCAGCAAAACACACTGCCATGTGTGTACCTATGCAACTACCTTGCATGTTCTGCACATGTACCCCAAAACCTAAAATGCAATTAAAAAAAAAAGGAATGTCAGCTCTGTCCTCAGGGGCCCAGGAAGCAAAACAGGATCTCAGTCACTATAGTAGCTGCTGTATTATTTTTGGCATGCCTTTCAATATGGATGTGGAATTTAACAAAAGAAAGAACCAGGACATAGGCAAGGAGCACAGTGTCCATGGTAGACTGTGATAATTTTTTTTTTTTTTTTTTGAGGCAGACTCTTGCTCTGTTTCCCAGGCTGAAGTGCACTGGTGCAATCTTGGCTCACTGCAATCTCTGCCTCCCAGGTTCAAGCCATTCTCCTGCCTCAGCCTTCTGAGTAGCTTGGATTAGAGGTGCGCACCAACATGCCCAGCTGATTTTTGTATTTGTGGTAGAGATGGGGTTTCACCATGTTGGTCATGCTGGTCTCGAACTCCTGACCTCAGCTTCAACCCACCTTAGCCTCCCAAAGTGCTGGGATTACATGCATGAGCCACTGTGCCTGGCTGGCTGGTACAAATTTAATGCGTTGCCTCTCCCCAGTACATTGATCTGGCACAGCCCCTTTGATCACCTGACTGATCACATTCATATTCTACCTTTTTAACCTAACATGTGGTATCCATTACCCGCAAAAGTAGATTAGAGCTTGATTTTTTATGAAGCAATCTAAAATCAATTGTTTTAAGACTTTCCAGCACACAGGAAAACTAAATATCCATCTTTATTCCTAGGAAAAAATCTGCAGCACACTTCCTATTATTTTTTGTTGTGTCCTTCTTAGTGTAACAATTAGAATTGTATTTTTCACAAATTCTGAATTTACACAGTGCTTCCCCTAAGCCATATATGCCTTTTATTTTGAGTCGATACCAGGTTTACCAAGTAATTTAAGGTGAGAACGCCAAAAATTATTTGCCTTGTGGTAATTCAATAACATTGGGTAAGATCATACACTTAATACT